TCCTATCCAAGATTCTACATTATGTTTAGTTGTCATGTGTCCTTAGGCTCCTCTTGGCTGTGACAGTTTCTCAGATTTTCATTGTTTTGGATGACCTTGACAGTTTTCAGGAGTCCCGGTCAGGTATTTTGTAGCATGTCCTTCGGTTGGGGTTTGTCTGATGTTTTTCTAATGCCGTTTTCATCACAGTGTATCGGGGATGCAGTGTCAGCATAATTTATGACTGTTGATGCTCACTCTGCTCACTTGGCTAAGGTAGTATTTGCCCGGTTTCTCCACTATAAAGTTACTCCTTTTCCCTCTTTTCATTCCAGTACTCTCTCGAAGGAAGTCACTACGTGCAGCCTACACTTAAGGAGTGGGCAGTTACACTCTACCTCCTTGAGCCATGTATTGCTTTAATTAAGGTCATGCTCACCTGAGTTGGGTCCCTGCTTGGGTGGCCTTGGCAGGGTTCATCATTGCTGCACAGCCATCTGCCTGCCTCCAGACTGCAGCTCAGAAAAAGTCTCTCAGAGGCTGGTGCTCTGATGGTGAAGTGACCCGTGGAATCATTGATTCTGACCCCAAAGGCTCTCCTTTTATGTTACTAGTGTCTAAGGAACTTAAAAGCTGTTATTTAAAATGGCATCTGTTCAGTGACCAGTCCAAATATTTATTCAGTTGCTCCTCCAGTTGCTAGCAAACAGTAAGAGGGTGGCGAAGTCACCAGCTGGCTAAACTCTGGGTAACGGGGAGCCTAAGATTGGCCGTCCGCACGTGAATTCAGTAAAGCCAAGAGCAGGCGCTCGCGTTGAGATGAAGTCGTTGTCCAAAACTCAGGAGTGTCCGAGGCAATGATTTTTAGCACTTTTTTGACTTAGCTGTAAGTTTTATACACACACACACACAGTCATAAGTACATAAGCATGCACACACACACCCCAAAATTTCACAAAATAATACTTAAACTTACTAGATCTGAGACTCGATTTTCTACTCTTCCAACAATTTTTTTTAATGCTGTTCATGACGCTTTATATTTGTTTAGAAACCTACTAGTGGGTTGAAGTCTGCAATTTGCAAAGTGCCATGTGTATTGAGGGTCCCCAAGAGCACCCCCAGGTTTGGTGAGTGATTAGGGGGACTCTCAGGACTCAGCATGTAGTCATACTCACAGCTGTGATTGATTAGAGTGAAAGAATACAAAGGAGAAGCAGCAAAGGGAAAAGACACATGGGGCAAAGTCCGGGGGAAGCCAGGTGCAAGCTTCTGAGCCCTTGTCGAGTGGAGTCACACAGGATGTACTTAAATCCCTCCAGCAACAACACATGTGAAATGTTGTCTACCAGGGAAGCTCATTAGAGACTCAGCACCAAGGGTTTCTATTGGGTCATGTAGGCACCCTCTGCCTAGCACGTTCCAAAATTGCAGACTGAGAAGGAAAGTAAATTTTCAGCATAAACCATGTTGTTTACACAAGTAGTTTAAGCGCAAT